GGCAAGATGAGTTTTTTCTTTTCTACTTCATTGTTGGTAGCACTGTCAGTCCAGGGAGCAAAGGCCAACATCCAGTTTCTTTTAAATTTCTAATGCTTTCCCGCAACTATCGTTTTCCCGTATTCATCGTTTTTATTTCCCACCCCCACCAAAAACGATGCATCGAGGTTTCACTGTACATCACAGAGACATGGCGATTTGTGCATTTGAATCTACTGCCATCCCGAGCCAGCGCAGACTTGTTCGACTCGACCTACGAGGAATTTGGACGAATTCCACTACATGTGTTATCGCGTTCGAAAGCACTAGGGTTTGTCGGTTTTTAAAAACCGGGTTTTTTGATAAATTTGTAAAATTCGAAAACCGCTTTTTAAATTTTAAAAAAACCGGTTTTAGATACTAGAATTAATATTTAAAGATTTCTGTTAAATGAACTAAAAAATTTAAAGATTGAAATTAGTTCCAAATTATTAAATGTTTTAGAAGTACGAATTCAAGGAAGAAGACAACTTGGATTGGTATCCCATTTGCTATATTTGCAAAATCCACAAAACATTTCAACAAAGAAAACTAGTGTATCTCCACTAGCTTCGAAACTCGATATTATTAAGTTATCTGGAAAAATATTGTCTAGAATATATCCAATTTCTTTATGGAAACAGATTCCGATGATGAATATATCGGAGACTGAGAGACTATTAATCAGGGCAATGCTCTAAAAGAAGCCATGGAAAAATCAATTCATACGTTTCTTGAGGAACCTGAAGAATTAATTTCAAATCGGAAGACACTGAAGGTCAAGTTTTCGGTATTTGAGGCAACCAATAAAAGAACAAAGAAAATAGATTTATTATTTGATGCTCTGAAAACGATAACACCAAGTTCAGTAGCCAGTGAGAGAGTATTTTCTATTTCAGGCAATTTTGTATCTAGAATAAGAACAAGATTAAGTAATCGTTCAGTGGACATTTTATGTTTTTTGAAATCATATTTCCTGAAGAAAAATACTAAATGAAATAAAAATTTATATTTTGTGCGGATTTTAGTTTTTATTTGGTTTTGTACGGAGTATATTTTATTTTGTCATATTTTTGTAGTTCCATACAAATTAAACAAACTGAACAATTTCAAAATAAATATAAATATTTCTTACTGTTTTAATTTTTATGTAAACATTCTAAAACCGTTTTTTTTGGAAATACTGCAATTCGAAAACCGGTTTTCTCAAAAGTCGGATTTTGTATAAACCATAGGGAGCCCTCACTCGTTTACCACTCAACGAGCTGTCCCTCATGACGTCAAGATGCTGGCGCACACGCTTAAGGTACAATTAGCGGATCCGGAAGAAGACCTGCCAATCAAGATTCTGATCGGAGGTGATCATTATTGGAAAATTGTGAAGGACAGTTTACCGATACAAATATCCACTTCAATGGTACTACTCCCGTCTAAGTTGGGTTGGATTTTGAGTGGTAACCTATCGGGCACCACAGTGAATTCAACGGCGGTGATCTACATCAACTTGGACCAGACATTCTTACACCCCTGATGACGCCTTTAGATACATCTGGGAGCTTGAGGCTATAGGCATAACAGCTAACCAGAAGAGAAGGCTGTGCGCTAAGAACTTTGCACTTCTGCAAGAATTCCACGACTCGTATCGCACAGAAGATCACCGAAGAGTAGTCTCCCTCCCCAAGAAACAGAACATCATTTTGTCCAATAATCGCCGAGAAGCGGTTCGCTTCGTTGCAAAAGAGATTACAAAAGAATGGGTCTTTGCAGAAGCTATATTACGCTCAGATGCTGGACTACGTCCAGAAGGGGCAAGTGGAAATAGCCTTAACGGAAGGGAATCCAGATACATTTTACCTGCCTCATCAAGCTGTGGACAAGGAGAAACATGGGAACATTAAATGGAGAATTGTGTTCGACGCGTCCTCGCACGAAGACAACGAACCCTCACTCAATGAGGTGCTGGAGATGGGACCAAAACTCCTCCTACGATTCTAGCTATATCCAGTGGCACTTATCGGCGATATCAACTAGGTCTTAGACACCAAGGACAGGGATCTGACAAGATTCTTCTGGTACAATGTAACACTAGACACTGAGGGAAACCACAACACGACTGATGAAGTAGCGACGTATCTTTTCAGTCGTCTCCCGTTTGGTTTGACCTCAAGCATCATTCTACTGTCAGCGCCGCTGAGGGAACTCGCCAACATGAACAAGACCACGTTCCCCAGGCCTGCGGCCCTCGTAGACAGCGGGGGCCGAGGACGACAATGGGGTAATAACGCTCTTTCATGAACTTACCGCGATGATGAGACAAATTAGGCTACCCATGGGAAAATGG